CCCTTGTCTAAGGCATGATATGATCGTCATTGGAGGCAGAGAAGGTTCACTAGGTTGGTTCTGGGGCTGGAAAGATTTTCTCATAAGGAGAGGTTGAATAGGTTGGGCTTGTATTCTTTGGTGTTTAGAAGAATGAGAGGAGACCTTGTTCAAATGAAGGAGCCTTGACAGAATAAATATAGAAAGGTTGTTTCCCCTTGTATTAGAGTCTAGGACCAGAAGGCATAATGTCAGAGTAAGATGTCACCCATTTAAGACCGATGAGGAGCAGCTTCTTCTCTCGGAGGTTAACGAATCTGTGGAATTCTTTCCTGCAAAGGGCTGTTGATGCTGGCTCATTTAAGTCAGTCAAGTTGCAACAGTCCTACCAGACCATAGGGCTGATCATTACAGAGAGACGATTGGTGGTGATTTACCCTGAGGGCCAGCACACCTCAGGTGAGGTTGAGAAGATGAGTCCTTTATGCAGGAATTGAACCACTCCATCAGCATCACGCGGCCTTGCAAACCAACCATCCAGCCAACTGAGCTAAACCATCCCCTGATATTCAAGTATATATTGAGAGAGGCAAAATTTTTAATTGGTAGAGGAATCGAGGGTCGTAGGGAAAAGGCAGGATAGTGGATTTGAGGATTATTAGATCAGCTGTGATATCAATGAATGACAGAGCAAACCTGATGGGCCCAGTGGCCTACTTTAACTGCTCCTACATCTTATTGTCTTATGGTCTATCTGATATTCATCCAGAAATAAATATTTCACGGATGGCCAATTTACAATGATAACTAAATCAAAGTTCCCTCCATGTTTAGCATTTTCCCAAATTTTAAAAGAAGTAATCAAATAAAAATATGTCCTAAAAGACATATTAGTAATAAGACAGATGTCTATCAGAATTGGAAGATAGCAAGAACTGCAGATGTTGGAGTCAGAGTCAATGCAGTGTGGAGGTGGAGGAAAGTCAATGTCAAGTTTCCTGTTCCTTTGATGCTGACTGACCTGCTGTGTGTTCCTCCAGCTCCACACTGTATTGACAATATCAGAATGAGTACGTTTTTCAGGCACAGGTTCTCCATGTCTGTTCTTCCCTCAACCTTCTTGGTACTTTTGTTGGACTATTGTTTCTCACCATTGTCCTGTCACTGTATTATCACTGGCCTATTTCTTCATATGATGGTTACTCCCATGTGAAGTACTGCAAGTTAATAGCTCAGTTTAATAAACTGCTTATTTGCAGAAGTGGTTGCCATGAAAAAGTGACAAATGAGCTCTAAAACTAATGAAACCTTTCCAAAGTCATTAGTGTTCAACAGCCTCATTGTTTTTAACACGTCACAAATAAGCATGCTTCATTTAAGCACGTTTTCTTCCCTGTTTTGATTAATGTTTAGTGAATATTGATAAGATCCTGCTGGGTGATAGCTGAAAGGTAGGACTGTGTGAAAAAATGAAGTTAACATACACACTGACATTGTTCCACCTACCATTGGAGTTAGTTATTTAAGTGCTTTTTAAATGCTTTTCCCAGCCACCAGACATCCGTGTGGTTTCACAACCATGAGTCCAACGCCATTACCCACTACCTTTAATTAGAGGCATAGATTCATGATAGCACAAAAATGACTATTTGACCCATTAAGACAGTGCCAGCTCTCTGTAGATCTACCTAGTTCATTGGATTCTCCAATAACTCTGCATGTTTATTTCCCTTGAGTGTCTATCCACAGTCCTTCTGAAATCATTGATCAGGTCTATGCCCACTACCCTTGATTAAAAAGTATCAAAAAACTAAAGGGTTTGATGTTCTGTTCTGCTGGCTGATGTTTCACATGGTCATCAAAACTCCATTCTCATGACTTAACTCACACCAAATCTCATTCAGACACGGACAAAAGAGGTAACCTGTAAAGGTGGGCTGAATTTGACAGAGTGAGATATCAAGGAGCCCTAGCAAAAGTAAAGCATGTGGGAAAACTCTCTGCTGGTTGGAGTCATATCTGACAAAAAGGAAGACGGTTGTTATTGTTGGAGATCAGTCATCTCAGCTCCAGGATTTCACCGAAAGAGTTTTTCAGGGTAGTGTCCGAGGCTGACCAATCTTCAGCTGCTTCATCAGAGACTATTCATCCATCATTGGTTCTGAGGAAGGATCACAGGACTCAAAATGTGAACTCTGCTTTCTGTCCACAGATGCTGAGTTAATCCAGCAATTTCTGTATTTGTTTGTTTCATCATTGACCTGCCCTCCACCATAAGGTCAGCAGTGGGGAGTTTGCTGATGACTGCACAATGTGCAGTACCATTCATAACTTCTCAGATACTGAGGTAGTTCATGTCCAAATGCAGCAAGTCCTGGACAATATTCAGGCTTTAGCTGACAAGTGGCAAGCGACACAAATGCTAGGTAATAACTATCTCCAACAAGAAAGAATTTGCCAGTTGTCTCTTGACATTCAATAGCATCACCATCATTGAAACCAACATTAGCTACATCCTGGGAGTCACCATTGACCAGAAACTGAACTGGACTGACCATATAAATACAGTAGTTATAACAGTAAGTCAGAGGCTAGGAATCCTATAGCAGCTAACACAGCTCCACACCACCCCCTCCCCACCCACCCCAAAGCTTGCCCGCCACCAAAAAGCACATGCCAGGACTGTGATGGAATATTCCCCACTTGCCTGGATGAGTACGGCTCCAACAGCACTTAAGAAACTAGATGTCAGCAAGAGAAAGCAGCCTGTTGGTTTGGCACCACATCCATAACGTTCACTTCACCACCACCAATGCTCAGTAGCAATGTGTCCGATCTACAAGGTACACTGCAGAAATTCACCAAGGCTCTTTAGACAGCACATTCCACACCCATGACCACTTCCATCTAGGAGGACGAGGAAAACAGATACAGGTATTTCTGCTATAACACGATAGTTGCGTTCTTATGTGACCTTGCGCTGTAGAAAATCGTGCTATAGAAAATCGCGTTCTAGGGAAATCGCTACAGAAAATCGCTATACGGTACATTAGAAAGTTTGCATCATCCAAACAGCGTCTACCATTCATCAATTGCATCACAGCCAGTTCACATTAACAAAACGTGTTATAGCAGAAATACCTGTACATGGGAGCACAACCACCAAGCCACTCACCATACTGACTTGGAAATATATTGCCGTTTCTTTAGTGTTGCTAGATCAAATCCTGGAATTCTTTTCCTAACAGCATTGTGGGAATACCTATACCAAATGGACTGCAGTGGTTGAAGAAGGCAGCCCACCACTACCATCTCAAAGGAAATTAGGCATGGACAATAAATGGTGGCGCAACTGGTGAAGCCAACATCCCCTCTATGTATAAAATTTTTAAAAATCACCTATTATGCGTTTGCTCTTTACTTGACTGGCAGCACCTCGATTTTAAAATTCTCATCCTTGTTAGCACATTGTCCCAGATCCTTGCTCCTCACAATCTGTGTAAACTCCTGTAAACCAACAACTCTCTGATATATCTATGCTCGTCGAATTCTTGTTATCCAGGAGATTAACTGCTCCTCCATTTGTGGCTGTTGTTTTACTGCCCAGGCTCTTGTACCCCTCCCAAAACCTGTCCACCTTTCTATATCTCCCTTCGCTTTTATGGCGGTCTTCATGTCAATCTTTTCAAACAAGCTTTTGGTCATCTGACCTCATCTCCTTGCAGAGTCATAGAATCATAAAATAACTACAGCATGAAAGGAAGCCATTTAGTCCATTCTGTGTGTGTTGGCTCTCTGAAAGAGCAATTCAATTAGTTCCACTTCACTGTCTTTGCCCTATAGTTATGATTCCTTTCCTTTTTAGATAATGATCCAAGTCCCTTTAAAAAGCCTCATTTGACCTGCCTCCACCTGACTCTCAGGCCATGTATTCCAAATCTTAATCACTCACTGTATGAAAAGAATTTTCTTTGTAATGCCACTGTTTCTTCTTTCAGTTATCTTCAATTTATGCCATTTTGATTCTTCAAGCAAACGGAACAGTTTCCCCTGTCTACATTGTCCAGGCACCTCATGATTTTGAATACTTGTGTCCAATCTCCTTCCAGCCCTCTCTTGTCCAAGGACACCAGATCCATCTTCTCCATCTTTCTGAGATTTGTCATCTGTGAAACCAGCTTCATGTGTCTTTTTTGCACCCTCCCTAATAATCTTTCATCCTACCTAAAGTGTGATGCCAAGGATTGGATGCAATATTGCATTTGAGACTGAAACAGGCTTTTAATATAAGTTGAATATAGCTTCTTTGATGTTGTATTTTGTGACTCTCTTGATAAAGCTGAGGACATCAAATCCTTTACTAACTGCTGTTTTAACTGCTTGTGCCAACTTTCACTGTTATGTGCATACATAGACCCAGTTCCCTCTGTTCTAGAACCCGCTTTACAGTTTTACCCTTTATTATATGTAGAATGAATCATTTTATATTTCCCCACATTAAATTTCCTGTGCCACCCATTCCACCAACCTGTCGCTATCCTTTCGAAGTTCTACGCTATTCTCTTCACAGTCCTTCTCATGGTTTAATTACTTCCCAGTTTCATGTCATTCACAAATATTGAAGTTGTGTCCTGTGGGTCATTAATATATCATCAAAGAGAGCAGGGCTCCCTGAGGTACTCCACTGTAAACATTTCTCCAATTATGAAAAATAACTGTTCACTGTCTTTGTTTCCTGTCATTCAATACATGTTGCTATTGTCCCTTTTATTTAATGCACGTTAACTTTGCTCGGAAGCCACTTCTGCAGACTTTTTGGAAGTCAGCACAGAGTCAACTTTCATTTGGTACAGCTCTGGTGAAACATTATGGAACATTTTACTGTGTTAAAGCTGCCACATAATAAAAGCAAACTGTTGGTTTAGTAAAACACATTACTTTTAAATGTTGCATGGTATTTGCTCTCCTTGAACAGTAGAAAGTTATGTGCAGTGACTCATTTGAATTGTGCCCTTTGACAGGTGGATGAGGTCATGCTGACCTTGAAGCAGGCCTTTAGTACAGCTGCTGCCCTCCAGAATGCTAAGACTCAGATCAAACTCTGTGAGGCATGCCCCATGCATTACCTGCATAAACTCTGTGAACGGATTGAAGGTAAATAAACATAAAGCCCAAGCCTACTGCAGTCCTGTGGATTCTGAAGGTAATGATAGAATATTCTCCATATTTCTAACCCATAATGGATGAGGTTCTCCACTTGTTGCTTCTAATTTTCAGTCCGTTCCAAAATGGAGGAGGGAAATCAGCTAGGGAAACTATTCTGTATCTCTGTTGGTCACTGTCACTTCTGGCTTTCCCTTGAGAAGAGACAGTGGACAATAAGTACTGAGAGGGTGAATCTTGTTATGGGAAGAAAATGGAATATATGTTGCATTTTCCTTCATGAACGCCTTGATACTGTGCAATGTCAGGAAGATCCGAATGTGGGGTTTAAATTATAATTTGGTCTCCTCCCTCCACTGCCCATGCACAATGGATCACAGAGGGATATATCACACTTGCCCAGCAGAATCTTTTCAAATCCGTTTGGAAATATATGAATACTTCTTCATCTGCCATGGAAGCAGCCCAGTGCTCTATCTCTGCCGTTGGCTGAGCCTTGCAGTGCTAATGTTCCATTCTGCTTCCCCACCTCACAATCCAGGGGTGAGCTTCCCAATATTGCTAAAAATTCCCAGCCTGGATCTACCAAATTACTTAGAATGTTCCCAGCCTGGAAGGTCATGGTCAGCTTGTGGACATAAAGCATTGAGGGAGAACTAAATTGTCCCTGGTGCCGTTATTCCAAAGAGGTATAGAACTGAAGCTCAGTTGCTTTGCTCCACTGGATATGTAGATCCCGTGACACTGGTCTTAAATACATGAGGCTGTTGTCCCGACCAACTTTCTTCCCTCAGTCGATGTCAAAAAATGATGATTTTACATGGATTATCATTTGTTCAAACTTGCTGGCCACAAAGTGGCTGAAGGGAGGGATTGTAGTGTAGTGAGACCTGGTCTAATACCACAGTGATGTTTAAATTCAGTCAATAAATCTGGAATATAAATGTTGTCTCAGCAATGGTGGCCATAAATCTATCTTTGATTGTTGTAAAAACCCATCTGGTTTATTAGTCTAGTTTATTAGTGTCCTTTATGGAGGGTAAGCTGCCATTCTTTTCTTCTCTAACCGACATGTGACTCCAGGCCCACCTCAATGTTGACTCGGAGATGGCCTTGCACACCCCCCAGTTCAAGGGTAATTAGGGATGGGCAACGGATGCTATATCTCATGAAAGAATGTAAAAATTAAAAGATATAATAACACTTAAAATGTAAAGCTCATTGACTGAGAAGCTTTTTAAAGCATTAAAGAAGTGAAAGGCAGCATCTAAACTTGGATAAACCAAAATTTGATAGTTAATTTTAAAAGGTTTTTTTAATAGACACTATTAAAAAAAATGGACATATGATGCTTTGGATAAAAGCACTGTACATTAATTTGGACCTTGCAGATCAAAAGATTGTGTGTGTTGATTATTGGACTTGATCTGGTGCTGGGACACTGGTGATGTCTTGTTAATCCTAAACTAGGAATGTCTGGAAATCAGCCAGGTCTCTGTTCCTGTGCATGCAACAGCAAACACCTCAGTGTTTACCAGGAATGAACACTTTCCCCCCTTAACGTCTTTAAACAGATCATGCAACACTTAGGCCTGGATTTTGTCTGCAAGTCAGAGACGCAGAGTCAAGAGGATTCTCAGCACCACAAACCCTATCTGTAAAAGTGGGTCCCCAAACAACAGATTCTTGACCTGGGGGTCACATTAGATCACAGTTTGAAACAGGCAATCCTCGGTGCATGTGGAGGCAAGCTAGGCAGGAGGTCTGCCTCAGTGCTTCAGCCTTGTGTCCAAAATTTTTCTAAAGAAACAAAACACCTTTCACACCCTGACACTTGCCACTTCATGCCTCCATAATTTCTTATAATGTCCAGGCCATTTATGTCCCTGTACACACCCTGATGGCCCTTTATAGATCCTATAGTACTTTTGTACCAACTCATGACAGCCCATTCCCCTCAATTTTTGCCCTTCAACCTCTTGTGCCAACTTACCTGGTATTCATTTTTGGGCAAACTGCAGGACCCATCTAGAGAAGGACTAAGTGTCCATCACAGAATTTATTACATTGAAGATAAACTCTCTCATTCATTTAAAAACCCATTTATGTTTACAATCCTTCAACCAAATAATGCTTTGCAAAAGCAGACATTTCCTTCAAATGCATAAATTCTTATAACAGCAAACATTGGAATTCATTGGTCCAGTTCAATGAATCTACAACCACATGTAGCTGTCAAGCTGTGAAGTGGTAGCCACCTTACCTTGATAATGGATGGGTTGCTTGTTAGGGATGGGTAACAATTTCTGGCCTAGCAAGAAATACCACTTCTTGTGAAAGAATAAAAGAATTAAAAGATAACACCTAAACTGTAAAGCTAATTGACTGACAAGCTCTTTAAATTCTAACGAATGTGAAAGCCGGCATGTAAACTCATTATTTTTGGATAAACCAAAATTTTAAAAGATTTTTTAAAATTATCCTACAGCATTAGTCCAGTAAAAGGAAGACGTCAGGCTTATCTTAACAGACAGGACGAAACAGCAAGCAATGATTATTTTTTTCTTAACACTTCAGACATTTTTGCAAAGAATTGAGGGGCTGGATTTTTACAGCCTTGACAACTTCCTTTGACAGTTGATTCTGTCAGGTCTGTTGACCATTTGAATGAGCTTGACAGTTAATAAGTTTCTTTTCATGTACATTCACATTTATTTTCAATGAATCCGTGGGCATCTTATCTCTGCCAGAGGTTACTAGACCTCTCTTAAAGGTGTTCTTGGACTATATCCAAAGGGGTATCCTGGCTATCCAAAGAAATGCACAAATAACAAACCTGTAATTATTTGTACACTTTGAGTTTCTCACCCTGGGCTATCAAAATTGGAACTGAGTGGTGCCAGCTGCTGATTTAAGTGGCCAACTAGCTCCATGAACTGTGTATATGCAAAACCTGAACATCTCCCGTTCCTACCCCAGTGAAAATGAAAAGTGCCTTGTTTGCTGGGGCATGACTTGTGATTTTTTTTGGGTTCTTACACCATTTTCACACACCGTTGTGGCAAAAATGGCCTTTATGCCTGGATTCTTAAGCTTAAAACAAAAGCCAGCATGCCGGGCTACATTCTACAGCATGGTGATTTAACTCAAAATGATTGATTGATGGCTGTATGTTAGTGGCATAATTATTAAAATAAATGGGAGTAGAAAATTTGCAAAGGGTAGCTGATGGATAAACTGGAGTAGGCAAAATTGCAGCAATGTTGGGATGTGTGAGACTGTACACTTTCATCCTGAGAAAGATGGATTGGAATGTTGTCTAATAATAAAGTTCATTTACAGAAATCACAAAATACAAATGGATAAGTGCAGCAAGTAATTTAAAAGTCTAATGGATCATTTGGCTTTGTCTGAAGAGACCTGAATAGAATTTATGTTACAGTTATGTAAGCCTGGTAGAATGCATCAGGTTAGGTTTTTGTTCGGCAAATGTATGAGGGGTAGAGATCAAGGATGGGTAAATGGAGTCAGGATGCAGGTCAGCCTTGATCTAATAGATTAGACTCAAGGGACCTGAATTCCCTCTGCTCATCCTGAGTCAGTTTAAAATGAGTCTTCACCAGAGGAGGGGAGAAAAGCAGGGCAGAAAGATGATACTGCTCAGAAAGTTTTAAAATGCAGGTTATGAAATGATTGCTAAAGATAAGTGTAGAGTATTGGAAACAGATTATTCCAACATTCTTGTTATGCTTCATTTTCTGAATGTCTGCAAAATGAAAATGGCATGAAATGTGCAATTGATTTCAGGATCCACTTCTGTTCTAATAAGGTAAAATTTTAATTTTTAGAGGTAAGTACCAGTTTAATATTGTTTTGTTTTAATGTCATAAGTCAACGGGGTCTGTCATCTCGTTGAGCACTTGAGATTCATTTTATTATCATTTCCTGTGGCCTGATTTCTGTCATTTTGGCCCAGTCTCTCCTGCTCTTTAACTCACCGATTTGAGCTTCTCTTCCTCCAACACTGTCCGACCTGTGGCCTGTCCTCCTCCCTGATCCATCCTTTCACTGAACCTCCCCTTCCGGACTCTCACTTCACTCCTTCCCTCTCTTGAACTGGTGTTTCCATTCAAGACCCCAATCTAAAGGAGTTGCAGAAGCCCAGGTACTGAAGGTGCAAAAATGCCGAGATCCAGGCCTTATATAAAACTGTTGAAGCTGCTCCTGCTGCCTTTCACTGACACCGCCCATCTCCAGAGCCCCCATTCTTAGCGAGTGGTGAGTGGAAGATTTTGAAAAATACTCAGCACTTCTGCACCTAGATCTCTGGCATTGAAACAGAATCTTGAGAGGGAGCATGGGTTCAAGTGAAGGAAATGGTGAGTGGCTAAGTCAGGAAGGGGAAGAGTCTGTACTGCCACTGTGCAGGAAGGGAAAGGATCTATCCCGATCAGGAGGATCAGGAGTGTAATGTTCAGGAAGCCTCGTCGGCATTGAGCAGGAGGAACTGTATTTTTTACATTTTTTACAGAAGTTTTATTTTGCAACTTATTTACTTTACCAGTGTACGATTTTAGCAATATTCAGGATATAATGTTTTAGAGTTTTGGTTTTCCGATGAGCGGGATCCTACTCAAACTAATTATAGATGTGGCATGCGTTTTGATTGGAAAATTTGATTGTTAAAATAGTTTCACTTAAAGTTGTAGCTGTGTTCCTGAAAATCTCAGATATAAATCAGGACTTATTCTACACTCACTGTAAGTGCAGAGAAGTGTGTCAGTGATTTAAAAGAAAAATGTTTAATTTCTGCAGTGAAGGCATCGCTGGCAAATGCAAGTGTTGTCTGTCCCAAGTTGTCCATGAACAGCTGCAGGTGAGTTTGGGTGCTGGGTGCCTGGAACACATTGCCAGTGGAGGTGATGGAAGCAGGCATGTTAGCAACGTTTAAGGTGTATCTCGATAGACGTATGAACAGGAGGTGAACACAGGGACAGAA